ATTATTGCCTTGGAACTTATTATATTTGAAGAATTTCAAGTGGATACGGAGAAAACAAAACTGTAAGTAATGCCTTCTCACTTTCACGTGCCTGAGTAAACAAATACGGATTCTCTAGCGAATGACTCAGAACTTATTTTTATTAAATTTTACTAACACCTTAATTACTTCAACGTACTAAACAGTCACCCTTCAATGTTTATATATATTCGCGTACAAAATCATTATTAGATCAATTCAAAAACTACAAGTGAACGCAAATTAGACTGAGTTTGTAGAGTTTAAAAGTCTTCAAAAATTAGAGGAAAAAAATATGAAAGTGTTAAGCAAATCTCGGAAAGAATAAAGTGTAGATGCAGAAGATTTTGCGTAAGAATGATTGGAATTAATGGAGAATGATTTTATATGAGCATTTGACAACAACCCAGAAGAACAGCTTACAGGTTATGTTTGGACATTACTGTGCACATTAGCAAAATTCTTAAAGTTCAGCTATACTTAACGCAATACCTATAAGTATTTTTACGGCAATTATAATTTTTAAATTGGACTATTTTCAATTCATATCCCGTATGTAGATAACGTACCTGACCATTGGGTGTTGGACATTTTTGAAGGGCTAAACCATTCTTAGCTCTTGGGATTCATTTGTAAGTCTAATATAAGACACTGTAAGAACATATTTTAACAAAGCTAAGCGCGAAAGAAAGAAATTATGAAAAACATTTTCAAACATGAAAATACTTTGAACACAGTGTACAGCGACGGCAACGCCCAATTCAACTAATTGGGTAGAATAGGAGGAAATATATTTAACGTCAATTACAGTGTGGGTTTTGAAATGAGACCAAGCTGGAATAGACGTAATATTGGCCATCACAAGTAACAATTTCATCAACTATTTCAGTACTTTTATAAATATTTGTTACATGCAGTTTCAATGTTTTAGTATCTGTCTTTCTCTAGGCCAATTTTGGAATAGATCTAGAATACGAAAACATGACAAAACACCGAGAAGATATTATTAATTATGATGTTTGAACTTCTAGAATCACATTTTCAAAGTAAATTCCCAACCGCTACTGATTCATCTTGAAGAAAAACCTAAAATATTTTAAATTAATCAATTATTGTATAAAACCTGGGTATCTTTTAATATTACTTGTTTCGTGTAACCTTCAAAATATTTATCACTTTTTAAATATTAAATCGTTTACACTGAATCTCAATTGCGATTATTCCCTTGATTCACAGAGCAAATGTTGTTTTGGTATGTTATTTTTTTTCGTAAAAAATAAGTAACGATATTTAGAAAAAAATAATAAATAAATAAATAAATAAATAAGAAAATAAATATATACAATTAAAAACAAGATTTCACGACGGTTTCATTACATCATTTTCCTGTTTAGTTCACAGAGACCTTGCGTTTTCAGAGATGCCTGGGCTTCCCCTTCTCCCGGGGATGATCATATATCAATCATCATATAAATCAGTCCCTTCTTCAGCCCCTTCCAACAGAGTTCAGTATTTTACCCGCCCTTCAACTATCTGCGTGGGCTAATTAGCGGCTGGGCCACCAGAGCGCATCACGGGAGCGCTTACAATGCTGCCGAAAGCTCAGAGACGCCAAGGCACTTCAAGAGTTCCGAAAACTGGCTTTCAAGTTCTCAGAGAAAGAAAAGGAAGACATTCAAACAACTTTTGAGTTACAACAATGTACGCGGTGCAAAAGGTAGTTTCATGTATAAATATGGGAAAAGAAACTTGAAACATTAATCCTTCAGTATATTCCAAGCGACTTGGAAGATATTAATATGAAAACAGTGAGAAACCCCAACATCCCCAAATATCTCCAAATGCTTCTCATGCCTGCGAGATTCACAGGACCACAATCCGAAATTCCAGAGATTGCCTCCAAAGAAAAAAACGAAGTAAGATGAATATTTACAAATATCAAGACCATGGTTTACCCGCAGTATAAATGATTTTTCCACTAAAGCCTTTTCGACTAAAGTCACTTTCGTTCTACGTGATACTTATGACCCTGGAAAAAGAGAGATAAACGAAATCACAGAGCTTTATGTACAAAAATAAGGTGCGTCAAGAACATTGAGAACACATGGTTTAAACATTTTTATTATGTGTCAAATGTTTAAAATACAAGTTAATTTAATAACAAACGTTTCATTTATTACTTCTTCCTTGCGGCCTTAAGTCAGTGAACCAATCACATTGGGCTTTTGAGGCCCACACAGCGGAAAATCGCAAAGTCCAAGTTCTTTCAACGAAGGGTTAAAGAAATACTGCGGAGTCACGAAATCCTTCAGTATAAGGAACGTGGAAAACTATTGTTCCCAGCGAACAATAAAATTGCAAGTTGTTGGGAAGTTGAATCCTGAACGAATGACCTCCTAATAGTATAGTCGATGGAACTAACTGGTACGATGCAGCAGATTCGTTCAACCCTCTTCATTGAGTGGCTGGGATTTGAACAAGCAATATCAAAAGTGCAGGAATTTGAACTTCTGTGATTTAAATTATTAGGGTTTGATCTGTGCGATTAGAACCATGATGTGTTGAACCGCAAGAAATGAATTGAGGGGATTTGAACAGCGGCTTTTTGAACTGTGAGATTTTGAATTGTATAAATTTGAAGTGTGTGAACAGTAGGGATTTGCAGCGTGGAGTTATGAACAATGGACATTGTAAGAGTGGGGAGTTGACCCCTGGGGAGGTTTTAACAGCGAGGATCTGAACAATGCGTATTACCTCTTACGGACTTGCACCAACTGAATTTTCAGGGCAGTGTTTTCAATCATTACGAATTGAACCAATGCATTCCGTCGGCCTGGATGCGCACCTCACCCCCAGCGGCGGCAGGCGGGCACGCGGGCGCGACGGCGCCGTGTCGGCCGGAGGCGTCAAATACGATACGCGCTAATTAGTCAGCGCAGGGCAACAAATCAGCGGCGGCGGCGGGGGCGGCGCAGCTGCGCGCCGTCATTCATAACGCTGCGCGCGCGGCTGCTGCGCGCGATTCGTCAGCGCCGGCGCGGCGCGGCGCGGCCTTCACCTCTGGCGGGCGAGCGCAGGTGCATTCCGGCGGGATGAGGGGCGTCGGCGTTTGCTGCAGCTGAGGTGGTGGCTGGGATTACTAGGTTGGCTGGTTGTTGGCGAATTCCAGGAGCGTCATTTGCTGAGGTCATTACGACCGTAAGTGTACTGCGTGTTGATTGATCGGGAGATGGCAGTGGTCTCCCCCCGCTGGGTGGCGAGATCCGGCCACGACCTACCGCCGGCTAGCGGGGTTTTCCTCAACCAGGTATTTCCCACCAGCCCCCGCCCCACCGCAACCACAGCCAGGGCGAGCTCAAAGGTCCCGACCAGTCTCCCAGCATGTGTGGTAGTGTAGTGCATGTTAGTGTATGCGTGTAGGAGGAGGTGAGGATAGGACAAGAAAAGGAAGGAAAGATCGCGCGCGGTCCATGACCCATTAGTTTTTGTATTGCTTCGGCATTCACCTGGTGTTGACAGGAGAAACCACAGAAAATTACCGATCAGAGCAGCCGGTCTCTAGAATTCTCCTCCAGTGCCAGTGTCGCAAATCTTAACACTGTCGGGACTCGAACCAGGGACCTATCGGTCAGAGGCACTGCAGTGACACAAGTTGATGCACTGATCCAGCTCTTCCGGTAGGAGGTGACGAGGCGTAAAATAGCACACAGTGGTAGATATATAGCACCTTCTGGTCCTCTGCAGCATTATTCACCCAGAAATCCTTCCCCATTCTGATCACTTCTTGACCTCATACATGTTCTCACATAGACATACTCATGCACTACACTTCCTTTATCAAGCACTGCCGCAAGCAAATGTGTCAGCCTGAAATCACTTTCCAAAGGAGAGGAACAACACCACCTACCGGAATACAACATGGACAACACATACGGAAGTACGTGATGAAACGCTTTCTTTGGTATTCGAGCCAGTGGAAGGCGGTTATTTGGAATGATTAGACACGGTATATGCTGTGAAATTCAGATGAGGGGGCGGGGGAGGGCAAGCGTATATGTATCAGAGTGTGTTGTGGCGACTGAAATTCGGAGTTGGTGGAGTGACTCTCTGTCTTTTTTCGATTTACCCTTCTTCTTTTATGTATTAATTTAATTTTAATTTTATTTATAATAACAGTGATGGGGATATTTATGAAATCATTTTAGAGAATAGATTTGTTTCCCACAATGTAACAATATTTGAGATCTGACATTTTCTGTATCAGCATAGCAATTATTCTCCCTAGAAACCAAGAACTTCTGGTTTTAAGAAAATCTACAGGATTGCAGAAAGGCATATTCAAAGAGCGTCTTGATCCTCTTGGAACATTCTTGGGATATATTGGTGAGTAGGTTATGTTGTCATAGTATTTTGGCCAACAACTTGATAACAACTTGACGCCGTGATTCAGGAAACAAAAAAAATTACCTTGTGTGAAACAGAACTTCGTAGAAAACCTTTTGCGAAGAATGAGGAATGTAATCTTAGCCAACAAAGACCATTTGAACTATTAGTTACATGGAGTCATTGAATGAACAGCAGTTATTTTTTCACTTTATATTAAGGTCGCTTTTCAACTACTACATTCATATAGCGACCACTGTAACATTGTGGGAATCGGTATTGGTATACGTACACACACAAACATCCCTGGCCCGAGCGCAATTCGAATCGTTGATTCGAATCATTAGGTATGCGGCTCTTCACCCTTAACGACCTCAGTTATTCAGGCCGGCTGAACAGCAATGGTTGATGATTTTTGGTAACAGTGTACGTGTTAGTAATTCCTAAATGGAACGAATACTGTTTTAAAAATATGATTCACAGAGATCTGAATATTAAGTACTTGGTACACGTAACTGCGTTTTTCTAATTGTTAAGAACACACTAACTGAAATGAAACTTTCATAATGGCCATTGTTAAAAGTGTTGCAGCCATGTACCTAAACCATCATACACTGGAAAATAAAATGCAGTGTGTTTTAATACTTTTTCGTGCTGCGGGTAGTAGCGGCGGCGGCGGCCGCGCCGCTGACAAAGTGAAGCGTCGGCGACCGCTGCCCAATCGCCCAACCCCGCCCCGCACCGCCCCGCGGAAGTGCACTCGCCCGGGTGCATACGCGGCGGAGTAATGGCGCCGCCTGCAAAAACAGCAGAGGGAGAGGGCAAGTGGCGATGGCAGGCGGCTGGGGGAGGGGGATGAGGGATGGAGACGAAGGGCGGGGATTGGATGGCGGGGGACGAGGGTGGGAGAACGTGGGGTGACGAAACACCGAGTGTGAGAGGAGGTCTTAGAAGGAGAAACGATGGGCGGGGATGGAGAGATGGGGTTTGGAGGACAAAGCACGGAAGGCGGAGTACGGGCGACGGAGAACGATGAACAGAGAATGGGACAGAAAAGAAAGGGATAGAAGAGTGTAACGGTCTCTGAGAACGGAGCACGATGTGGAAGGGCGGCGTGCGGGCGACGGAGGGCGGGCGAGGAAGGACGGGAGAGGAGGAAGGACGGAAGAGGATGGACGGGAGAGGAAGGACGGGAGAGGAAGGACGGGAGAGGGAGGACGGGAGAAGGAGGACGGGAGAAGGAGGACGGGAGAAGGAGGACGGGAGAAGGAGGACGGGAGAAGGTTAAAAAGGACAGGGAAATGAGGGTCGGACAATAGTGACAGAAGAGTGAAGACGTCGAGGTTTGGAAGGGATGGGTGGTGGGACAGGGTAGAAGGATGGTGTAGGAGAAATGGGTGGGGGATGTGGTGGGAGGACGGGCTTGGTCGACAGGGTGAAGCAATGAGGAGGTGTCGACGGGGGTGGGAGGTCGATGTGGGACGACGTAGGATTGGTAGGACGAGGAAGAAGACGAAGTTCGGGGCCACAGAGAAGAGCGAGGAAAGGCCAAGTCCAGGCGCACAGGCAAAGAGCGAAGGAGGGCGGTGGGCGAAGTGAGAGAGCGAAGCAATGAGGGTTGGAGGGGGCGGGAAGGGCACGATCTCCGCCGCCCCGGTGGGTCGCGCAGGGGTCGCAGGCGGATGCAGCCCAACGCGCCATTAGCCGACTTATTGCATCGTAATGCACCCTCATAAATCGCGCGCGGGGAGGCTAATGGCGGCGGCGGCGGGTGTGACGGCGACGGCGAAGCTGTGGGGAGCGCGGCCGGTGGGCGGCGGAGGGCGGAAAGACAGGTCAGGAGGAGGCCACGAACCGACCAGGGCACGGTCTGGGGCGGAGGTAAAAACAAGAGGAACGGGACGAGGAAGGGCAACTGTAATGACGGTGACGGCTAACATAACACAGAGAGAACGGCGGAGGTAGGGTTTGAAATGCTAGTGAAGGCGGTGAACGAAGTGTCGCTGCGAATGGTAAAGGATGGGGAGCTGGTGACAGAACGAGGTATGAGGGAAGGTAGTGATTGTAATGGCAACAAAGCAGTTGATTGGCTCTACGAATGGGCATTCAGTGCTCCAAAATTAATATCGTTGCTCCATAGCACCATAGATCAGCGGCTTATTTGTCTTACAGGTGCATATTTAGACCACCGTATCTACTCTTCCCTTCATTTTATTATAGGAGTAAATGATCTCAGGCCTCCTATTTTTAGATAAATTTATATTAAGAGTCGTTAGTCAACGTGCAAAAAAACTGCTTCAGTTTTTGGCAAGTAACTGACTAATGCCATGTTAAAAAATGTCAAACTGACATTTTTCCAAGTTCCTACTGAACTTATTTTCAATTCTAGTAACTTCTCAAAAACATTAAAAAATAACAAGTTAATCATTGTATTTTTTCTCTCGGAATATGTGCAGTTTCCCCCAGTGAACGCACGGTATGAAATGCTATTTAATTCTGTACATCATCTTCTGTCTGTTTCCCGATATATATTAAACCATCAAATCCTGACTCTGATTCGCACATCTTAAAATATTAATCTGTATACAAGAGAGATGAAGAGATGAAAAACATGGTAAGATGAATAAAGTAGACGGCGGAAGTTACGGTGGAATGTATAATTTGCTAGAAAAAAGGATAAGAGAACCTTAGGAGCCTTTAGAAGGGATGGGTGGCAAAGCTGATAAAGCTGATAGAGTGAGAGGGTGAGAAAGCAGAAAATGTGATGGTAACTAGGGCACATAAATGATCTGCTGAGAAGCAGAGTGATATAAGTCACTAAAATCCCGAATTTGACTTATTCCATTTTTCAAACGTATAGGGTGACAGTTACATTACAAATTGATCGTATTCTTAAAATCTAAATTTTAATTTTCAACTCTCTAGTGTACAATAGAAAAATTATTATAAAAAAGTACGTTAAAGAAAGTAAATATAATACTAGCCGCACAATATTGCGATTGCTATAAAGAAAGAAAATCATTTTACCTCAGGGCTTTTGCCAGCCAACAGCCGGTTTCCCTTTCTGCCCGATAGGACGCATATTGGACCTCACTCGACACAAACACACTTTCGGACTCCTCTGAGTCATCAGAACGTGAGGGTCTTTGTGACAACACATTGAGAAACAAGTGACTAACAACCACACCCAAGACGGGACACGAACCAGCGACAATTCGGACTGAAGTGCTGATTCAGTACATGCTCTTAGCCACGTCAGCAGTCCAGGTCGGCCAAATAATATCATTAAGAGTCTAAATTTAAAGCAGGTTTGGCCTCAACAGAGCTTTCGTGCTCGTATTTCAGATGTGATACTGTTTTATAATATTTAGAAATTTCTTAGGATAAAAGTTTATTGTTCCATGTTATTTTGTTTCATGAATGAACAATAAACTATTATAATTGTATTGTTATAATTATTATTATGGTTTATTTTCACAGCTTTCTGGTACATGTTTCAGGAGTCACACAGGTATTTCCATCAAAGTATGATCTCCATAATACAAAAGTTTTACAAACGAATTAGTTTTAAGAGCTAATTAAAAGGCAAACAATTCTACAAGTATGAACACTTAAATTAATTTATACATTAAACAGTAAAACAATTCTTAACATAAATATTTATTTAGGGACCCATAAATCTTCTCACTAAAGAACACGTGCTCAGGATCACAGCTTTCTGTAGAATGATGATAATGCTCGTCTCGATCCCCAATTTATTCAGAGAGTGCTTGAGAGCGATAGGTATCACGCCTGTTGCTGAGAGGATAATCGGTTCAATCTCCACGTCCAAGACATGCCACTGCTCCTTTACTTGTGTTAGTTCTCTGTTATTATTATTATTATTATTATTATTATTATTATTATTATTATAGTTAAGAGGGCGGATGAGTGCCCTGGACGACGCCATCGCTCGTCGGTCACTGACAGCTCACGCGGCCCAGGTCGCGCAAATCCCTCGCACACAAACAGCCTTAGAAGCTCTGAGTTGTAATCCCCATCGGAGGACGCCAGATATTTTTAAACGACTTCCCTGAGTGGCGGATTTCCTCCTGAAACACAGCAGGGGTTCAGGGAAGTTGAAAAACCCTCAAGTGTCACGAGAAATTTGAGAGCAACGTTTCACTATGAAATAAAAAGGAAAAAAATATCGTCGAACCCTGGCCTGTCTTTACGGCGTCCCAACTCTTGCTCTTTGAGCAAAAGTGGCACTTTTAAAGATGTTTACTCCGGTTTTGAGATTGAATACTACGTACAGAGAATCTCCTCGCCTCTTGCATCAATATTAAATATCATGGAAACGGGACTAATATATTGATGACGTGTGTACTCAGAAATAAAAAGCTTCTAATCTGCTGTTGAATTAGCTACAAGTAATAACACGCATTCGTTTAGTCACCATAAACACGTGTTTCGACTCAGTGACCGTCAAAACTGATATTTCATCCGAAATCTCGCCCTCGAATATTTGGACTGATTCCAATACTTTCCTTCTGTGTATTATATACGAGGAGAAATATGAGGAATTAAATAGTTTGTGATCTTAAATTATTAAACAGTTTCTGAATTAAACTAGTACTCGGATACCTTTTTTAATTAAATAATTATCTCGACGCGAAAGCAACGACAAAACGTCTTTGGCGTGAATAGGCAACAATTTAGACAATGATTTTTCAACTGAATGCACCGTGCTTTGTACATTACGTGCAGGCAACGGATGAAACACATGCATGCCCATTCTCTTACAACCAGTTTCCTTACATAAATAAATATGTTGGATGACAGAACAGTAACGACATTTCAAAGACCATGAATCACGATAAACTTTGGTCTCACCACGCATCTTTCCATCTTCGAGCGAGTTCGGGTATGAGTGGTAGGCTGAAATACGGCGCAGTCGATCTAAACTTACGAGGTAGAATCCAGGATGAATGATGTCGTTGAACATTGGCGTCACAGGGGGAATATATATCGAGTCTACTCAGATGTTAAGTGGGAATACGACAGCTGAAACTTTCCAACGTTCTGACTCCTTGCTCCAGCAGAAACCACTTTCAATTCGACTACGTCTTGTAAGCAGGAACAATCTTTTCCCATTAGGTATCTAGTATGCGACGATATTTATCTCTCAATGTTCAACAGGCCGAAGTACTTGAAATGTAACTATATTTCAATGAATAACCCAAACGTTCTTTCGAAATCGACAAAAATGTCACATATTTATAAATTGGAAATACATTCCAACACACAGTGTTAATATAGATATTATATGTACACGAAATATTCATTGGATGCTGTCCTTCAAATTTAGACAAACGCATTCTTACTTTTACATCATTCTGGATATCGTCAGTTTTGGTAGAGAAAAAACAGAGGAATGAGAGAGGAATAAGATGCAAGAAGAGGAGAGAGAAAGATACAGATAAAGACAATTTCGTCTAAGTGTAGTACAAAAGTGGTTGATTTAGTGTTTACAAATCTTTGTACAAAGTTTTAATTTCCACCCCTGACTGTGATATAGGAGAGGAGACATACTTCATTTTTTTAAAAACATACCTCATATTTTTATTCAACAAATGAATGTTAACATTCCTTCATATTATCTTTTGCAAAAGTATAGAGTTAGTTGCAATACGACTTTATTAGAATAACGTTCTGACGTAGAATGCTTGACTAGACAAATGGCAATAAAGAGGAACGCAAAATAATTAAATGAACGCTCCAAGTCATTAATAACGATTTATTTTATTAACTTCTTCTTTTGTCATTTTTTAACAGCACATGTAACCAAGAACAGAAATCTGGTACTTGGGTGTTTCTGAGTTAGAACAACCGCATTCGCCTATGACAGAATTTGAATCTCGACGAACTATTTTTCACTGTATATCACTCTTTTAAGGAGCCAATTTTCAGTTTGTTTTGATTTATAATTTACAGAGGTCATTGAAGACGGGATTCATGGTATTTAATATGAGCGTTCAAGAAGCGGTGAAGCGCGAAGTGAAACTGCAACACCGCACGTGCCTGAACGTAGCCCTACCTATAATGAAGCCCAAGCATGTTGCTCTTCATCGGATCTCGATGAATCCGCTTTCCGACTCACTACTAAAAGCGCGGGTTGCACAGCGGTCCTGGAATTCGGTTTACTGTTAAAAAAATATTAATTACATGAATCGCGTCGTAAAATGCATTTGTGTGAGTCGAGATGTGCAAAGGTAAATATGATACTCGGGAACATATTAAATACACTGGATGTTGTTGAAACACAATCGAGCAGAGCGGTGAGCTGAGAGATAATGGCTAGCACGTCGTGAGCGAAGATGCCAGGATCTCGTTGCAACAATGCATCATAATTGCTAGTAGCCTTTTTTTCCAGTTGGCTTCCGATGTTCCAGTGTTTAGTTGTTTTTACCAGTTACAACTTTATTTACAAAGATAAAAGTAAAGAATAAAATATCAACAACAAAAAAACTCATATTAGTAAAAAGAAAGCATGTTTTAGACCACACTAGATTGCAGCTGGGAAGAGGATATACGAAACCCTAAAGTTAGCCCTGATTCAAGAGAACAGAAAACTAACTATTCGTAAAATTCGGTAGCATTTCGTAACGTATAAGTAGGACAAAATATTTTTCAGCAAAAACCAAACTTTTACGGCAGAA